TGCTATCAATATAAAAAATTATCGGTTAAAAAAAATTAAAAATCATCTAAAAATAAATGAGTATAAAAAATCTAAAGATTTTAATAAGTCGTAATAAATGAAAATTATTACAAATTTTGTAAAGCAATTAGAAATTGATAAATTAAGCATTATATCACTTATGAGAAATGTCTATTTTTGTTCTAAAAATTATTAACCAATTAATATCTTTTCTGATTTATGTAAATTAATCTTAATTCAAATTAAGAATATTTTATTTTAAGCAAAATAAGTACTTTTCGATCATTAAATTATGGAAAAAATTTTATTACAAAAATATTTGTTCTATTATTGAAAAGGATTTATTTGATGAGCTAAATAATTCAAAATTTTGAAGTATTATGATTGATAAATCAAATACAATAACAAATGATAACCACTTGGCTATTATCTCAAAATATTTAGTTAATAATAATATTTTATATATGCATTATTTAAGAATGATTAATTTAGAAGAAATTGATGCCTTTTATATTTTTAATCAAATAAAATTATTTGTTATATCAATAAATTTAAACTTTAACTCATTAATTCATTTTAGATTATATGATGCATTAATTATAATAGGTAATTTTTTTAATAAAATAATTATAATATAATAAAATTATTAAAATTATTTTTTAATATAAGATATCATAGTGATATTTCAATAAGATTTAAAAATTAAATTCATTTATATCATCAAATTATTATATTACATATTATTTACATTTAGCAAGTAAATATGCTTTATTAGCAGTTAATTATTTTAAAAATTATGAAAATATTCTGCATAAACTTTATTCATATTTTAGCAGATCTTATAAATGGCAAAAAATATTACCTATTATACAGATATAATAAATTTAGTTTATAAAAATTTTGAAATTAAATTTTTTTTAAAAAAGTAATTTATTATTTATTTTTTTACTAAATAGGATATTAATGATAAGCCAACTTTAGAATTACTAAATATTATTGAAACATAATAACTCTCATTATTAAATGCTGTAAGAAATCTTTATAAGATTATAAATTCAGTTTTATCTTTACTAAATGAAGATTCATTAGTAGAAGATAAAGTTACCAAAAGTTTAATTCAATTAGTAAATAAAGATTTTATAATAGCAACTATGTTTTTAGCTGATCTGATAATAATACTTAAAAATTGATTAAAGTTTTTTAATCTGATTATGTAACTCTTTCTCATCTTAAACCTTATTTAATAGTAGCGATGAATTCTATTTTTGAAAATTTTATTAGAAATACTGATGCATAACCTACATATAGAATCATTTTACATAACTATTTAGATTACTAAGAAATTTTAGACAATTGTTCATGTTTTATCAAAGATTATTTAGAAGTAATGATTAAAGTATTATAAAAAAGATTTTCACAATCTGAATTATACAATATATTAGGTATATTCAATATTAAATTATTTCTAAAAATGGAAAATTAAACATTAAAATATGAATTTAAAGAGATTAATTTTCTTAGTGATTATTATAGAAATAATAAAGTAATTGATAATACTGTTTTTTTTAGAATTATTAATAAAGAAAAACTTAAAGAAATGGCAATCAATAAAGCATTACTTATGATATTTCTCTGAAAAAGATTATAATTTTGTAAAAATAAAATAAAGCTTCAAAATAAACTTAAAATAAAAAATTTAAATCAGTATTTAATGATTTTGATTAACGAATCAGACATAGAAAATTTTGATTTTGAAAAAGCATATGATTATTGAATTAATTTAAAAGCAAGAAGGATAGAAAGTTTGTAAATATTAATTGTTTTAATTTTTTTACTATAATTATAAATTATAATATTATAAATATATTTTTATACAATAATAATAAAGATCATTTTAAATATTTTTAAATTTTTTAAATAGTGTTTATTTATTATTTTTATATGAAAGCGTATTGATTGATTTTTTGCATATATTTTAAATTTTTATTTAAGAGAAAAAGCACATGTAACTTTAAAACTTATGCATAAATTTTTTACATATAATATGCGCTTGCATATATAAGAGATATTCTGAATTTATATCACTATTTACAACCTAAAAGAATCTTTTTCTTCCTATAAAATTACATATATTTTTGTTGTTAAAGTTGTATATTTGTATCCACTTGTAAGAAGATCTTAAAAAAATTTATTTTTAAAGCAAAATTTCACATAAATGTAAAAAAAAATAATTGTTTAAAATGAAAATCAATAGTTAGAATTGATTAAGCACATGATGATTTATCAATTTCTTAATTAATATGATTAATAAGTATAATAATTAACTATAAAGTAAAGTAATTCAATTATAATTACATGAAATTTTTAATATAAAAATGATCTGCATACAATATATCTAGCATTTGTTATTATAGAAATTGTATTTTTCTGATATTACTATTTCTTGTGATTAAAAAATGTTTTATCTCAGTAAAATATGATACTTCATGCTTTCATTTTTAATAATTCAACAAACAACTATATCTGGTTTTTTTCTTAAATTCATCCATAATTCATACGATACTCTTTAAATAACAGTATTGGCATATGATATAATCATATAAAAATTTTTATAACTTCAAAATCATATATTATATAACTAAATATTCATAAGTCATAAAGTCATATAGATTAACTAATTCCGGCCAGAATTATAAGCAAGAAATTGACTTATTTAGTAGTTGTGTAATGTTATACTAATGTTAATAAAGTTTATGTAACATTTTAAAATCCAAAATTTACCATTTTAAGAATTTGTATAACTAAAATCCCTTTTATGGAAATGATTTGATTAATAATTCCGGCCAAATATAATTCCGACCTAAATTAAGAAATATATGACGAAGTCATAAGTCATAAGATCTATTTAAATGATAAATGACTTATGACAAGTCATGTAAGTTATATAAGTCATATAATGTCATGTGCCAACACTGTTGGATGATGATGGGCTTTGACCATTTGTCCTTATTATAACGTAAAGGCAAAAGAGTGATTAGTAAATTAATACTACCAAATATTTCAAAAAAAGATGCATGTTTGCTTACCATATGACCTCATAGTTCGAGTCTCAAAATGTTTCCTTAAACGTATCGTAGACGTACTTGTGCATCACTGTATCCTCATTATTTTCTTTTCACGGCTTATAAAGATGCATTCTTTCATAGCTGTGAAGAAAGATCAGCTGAAAGTCATTAATAGAAATTACAGAAAGATTAGGTAAAGGTTGAAATTTAAGAATCATTACAATGTTCGGGTGACAATCTGTGTAACTTCAAACAATCGTCTTTCTTCATCCGAATATATCACTTCTTCATTATACTTTTTCCAGTTTCATAAAACTTGGAACGGAATTCATCGACGTCATTTATGACCTATTTTTGATATGAAAGATGTAAAATTATTGAAATCAGAAGATTCAGCTCCCGTTACCTTTTCATATTCATCCATAATATCACAGAAGTAATTGGGTGGATTCAGCTGGCTTTGCTGACAAACTGAAGCGCGCCAGTTGTGTTCATTTATAGAAGATAAGTATGACAGCCGTTCCATCTTTGATAAATCAATAAGCATGATATGATGGAGTGAACTGTAATTTGAAAATTTTGTTATATTCCGATTAATCATTGATCCGACTAAGTTATACTTACAAGATTACTTCGCAATCTGACGAGAATCGGAAAATTCCACCGCCTACCAGTCTGTCAATGTTTGTTATTTGATACTGACGGAAGGAATTTGAAACATTATATTGTTTGAGAATCCACTAAAACAAACACAATGTTTAGTACATAAAAGATTGTTTAAAATAGGCGATTCAATAAAGTCAATGGTGAACTTGCATCCTTTTGTGAAATGAGCCCTGTACAATTCTAGATCGGATCGGATTGACCGCAAAATGTGCCCTTAAATGATTGGTTATTAAATCGATCAGCGGTCAGTCAAACCAATCCACGAAAATAGGTGCTCGCCTCTGATCGATCCTGATAAACTAACGTGACACGTGCCAGTAACCAACCATATTTATTGTTTACAACATGATTCGATCGAGCCGTACAAATTGTGCTCCGATCCGATCCAGAATTGAACAGGGCTATGGTCACGGATTTCCTGTCGTGTATCGAGATACATATTACGTAATACGTTATTGTCAATGATATCCTCATCATGTGTGTTGATCAAAGTCTCTTTTTTTTTCATTTGGAGTCCTTAAGGAAATAGAATACAGAATGAGATATTGCATGTTCATTACTCGAAAAACATAATAGCACCCACAATGCTGTTTCAATCGGGTTGTAGACCGTTTCTTCTTTTCGTTCTAACCATTCCGTCAGTGAACAATATAGCATCCTCATTATTCGAAACAAATTGTCTTTTTTTTCCCGGGTCTACTCTCGTCGGAGTTAGTATCGTCTGAGGACTAGGGATGGAGTCGGTTCTATCGGTTCCATTTCGGTGCCTCTTCGGTTCTACTTCGACTCTTCTTAAATAAATTAAACTTTGAGCGTTAAGTTAAATTTATACTAATAGAGCATCAAGTGATGATCAATTTAAAAAAATTTTTTGACTGGTTATCAAACAAATTCGTCCTATTATTACCTTTAATTTGATGACAATCCGATTTTGAGCCGATCTTGGAACCGGTCCGGAGTCGGTTCCGGTTCGATTTTTAAAATTGGTTAAAAATGGTTTATAACTCAGGAAAACCCGAATATGTTGAATTTATAATCGGTTCCAGAACCGACTCGGAGTCGCTCTTTTTGAACCGTCCCCATCCCTACTGAGGACTTATGTCTCTTGATGCGTAATAAAAGTTAGTATAAACACTGCAAGGAGAATGTAAGAACCTACATTTTCTCGATATTTTCTTTTCTTTGACACATCTCTCTCTAATCCAGCAAAAAAGGCTCCGCCGTTGGTGATCCCGCTTACATTCCCATGCTTAGTCTCAATATTAACTGATGGTGTACACTTTTTACGATAACGCTCATTCCTCCATGTTCTTGCCTCCTGACGTTCAGGCCGAGTACCTTAGTATAGAAGAACTGAAAATTAGTAATATGGGAGGTTTGCTATTAAAATCGAGTTATTAACATAGCTAATCATATGATCCGTAACGTATTTTAATAGCTTACCTCCCATATTTTTGACCAGCGCCTTCACAATTATTCATCTGATTTCGTCACATCCAATCAGGTCGACAAGAAGTCTTGAACATCAGACAAAAGAAACGAGAAGTTCGCCCGTGCCCAACGGGATCAATACTGAGTCGACAAGAAGTCTTGAACATTAGGCAACAGAAACGAGAAGTTCGCCCATGCCTCAGCACTGATTTTGTAGCTCGACAAAAAGTCTTGAATGGTGAAGAAACGAGAAGATTTCCTACCACGCTACTTATTCCCACCATATTTTCAACGAACAGGCTTTTTTACTTGCCTTCATATACCGATCAAGTAGTGTACGTGCTTTTTCTAGCTTTATTTTCGCATTTTAGATTTAATAATCTTCTTTTTGAAATGTTGTTCTTCGCATTCTGTCAAAAAGTCAAGGATTCCCCAATCGTCAAATTTTCGATTAAAGTATTCGTGAATTTCACCCATTATTTGGAAAACAAGTTTCGTGGAAAATTGTTAAGAAAAAATCATAGACGATCAATAACGTATATGGTAAATAATTATACCGCTCGTGACGTCACTCGTGCCAACAATTTAATAAATTATTATCACAAAATTAACCAATCAAAATTTAACAATTTTTTTAACGTGATGCCGTGTTAATCAGGTATTTTAGTCCGGGAGGTTCAGGTTTTTTAACCTAGACCTGTAACCTAATTCGAAAAAATTTATATTTCCATATATAGTAAATTCATTGATAAAATTATTGTTTATTTGTTTCATGTGTAGTCAGTGTTGTCATGGGACATTGATGGGACACTGATGGGACACTGATGGGACATAGATGGGACAGATAGGACATTTGGG